GTTTATGCTCAAGATCAAGTTGGAGTTTACTTTTTATGTTGTAATGTTGTGTTCACCAATATAAATGTATCAAATACAATATTGCACAATTCTGCGCAATTAATAATGCACCATATATATACATATGCAATCCGTATCAAATACAATATCACACAATTGTACGCAAATTATAATCAAAGCTTATGTATACCCATCACTTTCGAAATAATCACTGTAACGGAAAGTTTCCGGGTTGACATGGTGTGCTGGCTGAGGTAGTAGCAAATATAGCTTTTATGAGAGCTAAACGCATATGTGGTGTTAGTCTAATGGCATTAAACCTAATAAATGTCACCATTTAAATCGAAATCCACACCTGGGTAGAGCGCACGCGCCCGACATCTGTGCGATAGTTGACGCGGACTCATTGAGTCGAAATTTTCTTCTATTTAAAATGCACGACAACCCGTTACACTTGGCAGCAATCCGACGTTGATTAATGACTGGATTATGCTCACTGTGGGAACGACACATGACATTGGAGAGTACTTATTTTCGTGAGCTCCAGACTAAGGAAGTTTCTTCTATGATTCCGACAAAATTAGGATACAAGTAGTCAAAAGGCCAGATATGGAAATTCGATTGCCTAGACGTACACTGTCTATGCAGGGCGCCACAACTGGGTGCAACTGGAAGAAAAGATAGCACCCATCATGTGGTCGCAAATGATGAGCGTCCAGCTCTTCGAGAGTTGGGACAAAGAAGACCTCCATCCGGATTAAACAAGTTGATAGAGCCATCAATTTTGGCTATACCAGAAACGGAATAACAGTGTGTCGAGTTGGTTGTCTCCGAGCGGGGAGACGTGTGCAAGTATAAACACTTCAAGTAAATACCTTGACAAAAGAGGAGTCCTCAATCCTGGACGATTCGAAGCAACAGATACGCACCGCCTTATCAGACATTTCGAGTGCATTCAAAGTTCTTGGCTCTCGTCAAAGGAACCAGAACTCGCGAATGGCTAAGAGCTAATATCGCTGCAATGATGTCCAGCCCTTTACCTGAGGCGGTGAGAACAGCCACTTTCGAGGAGGGTCTCTGAATGGGTGCGGCCCGCATCGAGACTTTCTGCTTCTACACCTCACCATTCGAGGAAAATGTGAGCATGACATTCAGTGCGGAGTATAACTTTATTGCCGCAGGAGCCGGAAGAAAAATACTAGACTGAGAGCGTGCTTGAGACGATAGATATTAACCATGCTGTGGGAAAGCGAAAGACAATTATAAGAAATCCGATGTACTCGCGTGTATTTCATTTGTAAGAGATATCAATTGCTGCGCCCTGTATACCCCTTCGCTCTCAACTGAGAGGTACGAAGAGTCAGGCTCCCTTTCTAGGGTGGACGACAGACCTTCACATTAGAACGTCAAGTCAAGTCCCAGAAGCCTACTAATAGAAAATAGGGCTCTATCGTAACTCGTGGAGGCCGCGGTCAGCGAGACCGTTGATGGCGGATTCATAGACGCTGTTGACGCTGACAGCTTCTGCTGTAAATGCTCTAACAAAGCATCTTCATAACTTGAAAACGTCTCTAGGCGCGCGCTTATCGTCTCGGGCCTTTGCGCAACGAGGTGCTCCAGAGCCCAGCAGAGATATCAGCTCGTTAAGCCCGTTCTGCATGCCCTGGAGCAAAAAGGAGTATTTTTCAATCCTCACATATGACGGTCGTAACAACTCAAGCTTAGATTTAACTACGAGTGTTACCAAGGGCAGCGGGGCTGCCGCTGCTGTTTGCTTAGAGGAAGCTAAGCTAAAGTCACCGACCTTACGCTCTTTCCAAGAACCAGAATGAGTGGAGCGGATCTCAATTCGCTGGTTGCAAACGAACACTTCTGTTCAAAATCGAAACCGTATTTAATTCTATTTGTTGCGGCAGAGCCGCCACTTACTCAAACCCATATTTTGAATGAATATAGTAATACCTAATAAATATATAGTAATATGCATTACTACTGGTGATCCTGCCATGTGGTGGCTTCTTGTTACGATGTTGCCTCACCACTCTGTTTACACCTACTTGTGTAACCCACGCCTATGTATGGTCGCACCAGCTTGTGCGACCCGCCCTTTCATTCAAGGGTAAGTGTAACCCCGTTGCACCTCATTAGGCTATGTTCATATCTCACGTTCAAGCTTCCTCTATTTAGAAAGTTAGACGCAATCAGGTTGTCGTGTGCAGAATGCTCTGACTCGAATAGCCCGCGTAACTAAAGCACCGAAGATAAATTTGTACGATCCAACCAAAAGCGAGATGCAGAGCCTCCAACATAACTTCGAACTTCTTTTCTTAAAATTGTTGTATCAAGAGCAAAATTTATATTTACTTTAGTTTAATGTAAATGTAATATCATACACATGTCGAAACCAGTACTAACACTGTAAGTATTGCATGACTCGAAGTTAACAGCCCAGGTGTCCTGCAAATGTATCCATATCGAAGTCTCATCATTCCTACCTATATGTATCGTTGTGTTCTGCACGATTGCACAAACTAGAATGCGTACGTCAATCAAGATGTTCTATGTAAAACAAGAATGAACCCTAGTGTAGTTTTCAGTTGGTTGGGGTGAACTCCACTGGGTTTCATACTTGCTGTGTCTACTTGCTTAAATTGGCTTGATATTTTGTGCGAAAGGAAACGCTCAACGAGCTTTCAGCGATGTTGATGTTTCGCATCCCAACCTACACTTAACTCTGCCTGCTCTTACGATCCCTATCTGCATTGGTTCCATTTGCCCAAAAATGGTTCGTGAAGTTTGAGTTCTTGCAAGCCTTAAAGCCATTCTTGGTGTATATTCTGAGGAGAACGAAAATAATTACCTTCCTGCCTCGATCCGACGCCTCCGTCCATATTCAAGACAGAATAGAGCTGTTTACTGAAGAGGACTTATTCTCTATGCTCGGCTTCTCTTATTCACCTATTGTGCACTCCGTGGCATTCAATATGGTGAAAACTCGTACGACACTCGCTGCCAGCCCCCTGGACAGCACCCCTCAGAAGTATTGCCGGCGCTTGGAGCTATAAATTCCCATTCGCGTGAACTGTGTGCTTAAGTCAGATTAGAATAAAATAGAATCGAAATATAAATAATAGAGAAGAGAAGAGAAGGGAAGAGAAGATCGATGTAGTAAACAGGCCTCTGCTTGAACGTCTTACAACATTTGGGTTTGCGAAATCTAGAGCACGACATGAACATCGGATTTAGCACTCATTACCTCGTGTTCATGCTTTCAGCAGCTCAGTTCATCCACTTACGCTTTACATCACAGCAATCGACCTAGTCTCAAACTTGGAACAATGCAGGTCCCGCTCGTAAGTATTAGCGTTACACTACTCAACAGTGCAACTTATCCTGAAGAATTAAATTCCGAGGGTGTGCCTGGTCGTAAGTGCCAACAGCAATCCTGTTAAAGTGAGATCTCGAACGGTCATAAGTTTTCGGAGTGTGGGTATCTCAAGATTTATACGGTGCTATCGCACGCAGGTGACATGCACTCCGCTGATCAAGTCAAGAAGTTACAATCCTAGTGATCTCGCCGAAACTATTGTGATACATATAAGCGGGTCCTTGCGCAGTCCTGCTGAGGACGGCTCTTCCGCTGCTGGCTCTCGCGAGCTCTTTTAAATATGGCAACAAATCGGTTCTATCCGAGAGTCGTGGTGTGCCGCCAATAGTGAGATAAGCCACGTGACGGATGCGCGCTGTATGCTAAGGATCGGAATCGTATTCCTTTCTTTAAGAGGGATGGTTGAGACGCTGATTTGTCTTGAACTGATCCCTTCACACCTGAAAGGTTCGTAGATGTAAACGTCTGCGTACAGCAGGATGAGATCGCATTTCGTTCGATTTATTGAGCATATTTGTCATTTTCTTTCCAGCTACAATTGCGAACAGGACGGTATAGAGTTCTTGAATTAGACTTATCACACTTAATGTAGTTCGTCTCATTATCTGTTACCGGTGGAGATTGCAAATCTGTTGTCCAGCACCTTGATCATCGTTACCCCAAATTTTTCTTAGAAAATCACTGATTTTGATTCGAAACAATGGCAACAGGCAAGTCAGGCTGACGAAATTTTTGTCAAAGAGATGTTTGATCTTATTAGTAATAGTAAAGGTACTGCTGATAGCAGCAATTCGAGCTATACCGCTCAGACGACCGACGAGATCACAATGCCGTAATATCTGGACGCGTCCTTATGGTTGAATAAAAGAAACTCGTGCTTGTGGATGATGAATACGCAAGTGGTAAGAGCAGATGGACCAATGTCGTCAATGCATGCTGCGAGGAGTTCATTTGTTGGCATTGCGTGCATAAGCGTTTATCTATATATCACATTTAACGTTTGGTCCACCAATTCATACCGCTCACACTCGTACAAAATTTCTTTCGAGATTACCACTCCAGAAGTTCGTATGCCTGGCTTAGTTTTCTGTGCTTAAGCCCTCGTGATCAAACGTTGAATGTCAAGCGGGTCAGCGTTGGGAGTAATTGGGCCTTATATGAGGGCATAACAGTACATGCGCAGACAAACGCTTCGAGAAAGTGGTATCTCAGCTTTAAATGATTTGTCTACCAGGGCGTCCAGCCACACAGCATATTGCGTGTCTATTTTGAATATTTTCTAATTTTAATATTTCTGCAAACAGGGTGGTGATGAAGTTGCTGTGCATCAGCGACGCATGATGAATATAGACCAAAGACGATCTAGAGCAAAGCAGGCGAGCTCTAAACTTGCATGAATATACTTTGT